GTCGCTATAAATACATGAACTATTGGATAATTTGTCGGTATAGGCTTAGTAACAGAGCATCTATCGCTAAAAATAGCAATGGACTATCTGTCACTATAAATATTTAGGGCAACAGACTATCTATCGCTAAAAGTACTGTCTGTCGCTAAAGATTTTTAGTGACAAGACTTACACCGTCTGCACAAATCTGTCGCTATAACTTTTTAGCGACAGATTGTCTGTCGCTGTATCCGCTTTTAGCGTCAGATCGTCCATCGCTAATCTTGGTGTTATGGTATAGTGATGTCAGTATATAAATAATAGCAAATAAATTGCTAGTCTTATCATCACTATGTAATATTTTTTATGATGTAGAGGAAAAAGATGGAGGTGAGATAAATGTTGTTTCGCGAAATAACTGTTTTATATAAGCTAAAATTGAGGACTATGGGACCAATGTTGCATCATTGTATGAGTTGTTGTCATACAACCCACAATGGACCTTTGTATATGCACAAATTAAAAATTGAGTAGTTCCCCTAAGATTAGTGGTAGTATATGAAACCGTCTATTAGACAATACTAAAGTATTTACCTTAAAGAGATGGCCTAAAAAACAAGACAATTTCATCGGCCATGCGGAACCGAAATCCATCTATTCATCATTCGTCCAGTTGTTTTCATCGTTCATCAAATAAAAAATACTCCATCCATTCCAAATTATAAGATGCTTTGGCATTTTTAGTTACATTACTTTAGCATTTATCTAAATATAATGTATATGCAAGTGCATTGGAAAAACTATGTATCTCAAAAGTCAAAACATTTTATAATACATTTTAATCTGTGTTAAAACTATGTATCTGAGGAATGGAGGGAGCAATTCAAATACCCCCTAAATTTAAAAATGAAGTACACCTTAGCCATTAGGAAAGGTAATTCAAAATAACCTTCTATTACATTTTATAAATTATCCACATGTGTCATTATGAAAAAAGAAGCAAACTAACCCCTGTGCATTCAAAATACCCATATAATTATAAAATATAATATAGAATTATACCTTTTAGTTAGTATCGAAGTTATCAACCTCAACATTTATTAAAAATAAAAATTTCTCTCATATCCATATGCAAATACTAATACAATATATTAAAATAGTCCAATATCCATAAAAGTACTCTATATATATTTCAAAATTACACACTTCAATGCTCGCTATGTTCTGTCATGCAGAGCAAGTAAACATGTATACATTTAGGTTTAACTAAACATGTGGTTAAAAAAATTCAACAACTAGATTAAAAATTGAAAGCTAAAATATTGATTCAAGATGTTATAGAAACGGAAGCAACAAGAACTTATGTAACTTATGATTAAATTTCAACTAAATCCATATCTATTATAACCATTTAAATGTAAGGTCGTCAGGCCAGTAGAGTCTAATACCATCCAAAATTATAGACATTAGGATCTATCCTGTTTTATAATAATGACTCGCCTCTATGATTGTGTAAAATAGTTAAAGAAGTCAATGAATCTATATTTATATTACCCAGTACTAAAAACACTATCTAAAGTGATTCTAATTACCCAACTGCTATTATGAGAGATAATCTATTATAACCACTTAAATCTACATCTAAAGTAACAATTTTGTTATTATTTAAAATCCTAAAAAGCCCCTCAAATCTACATCTAAGTTATCATCTTCGATTAAAACAAATATTTAAATTACCATAAATCACATATATGTTTCTACATTTATATTAGAACTTTATTGAAGTAAATATACATATTATGTCATCATACATATCAAGTACATGTGCATACTTGAGATGAATACATATATATATACATACATATATTCTAGAAACTATGAAAAATATTTTCTTAACAACTCGTATACTAATGATACTACACACTATTTAAAACTATATTACTATGAAATATATTTAATAATTTTTACTTTTCTAGATACATAGTAAAGCTATGCATCTAGACATATTGTATATTTAAATACATAGCAAAAGCTATTACCTAGAAAAGTCAGACAGACAATCTATAACTTTGAATGGAAGTATGTTTTAACTAAAATGTTAACTATATTGATAGTATAACTATTATTGCACATATAATTTCTTGATAAATAAATTTAAACGCAACTTGATAAGTGGGGGGTAGTGCGGACCATATGTGTCTTATATCTTCCTGACCCTTGGGATTACTTTAGTGTAAACAATCATTATATAATGGAAATATTAATATTCTCTCTAGGTTAGCACCATTCTAGATCTCACTTCAAGCTCTACTCTCTATTTTGAGTGATGTGGTGCTCGTTTTAAATTATTGTTTATGTCATAACACTTTGCAACCTAAAATCCTTATTTTAAATTACAAAAAGGAGAGTTAATAAATATACAATAGGTGTTTTAACTTAGTTTAAGAATAAAAAATTGTAATAATTAATATGGTTAAATTTGAAAATCAAAATTTTATATTTATGGCATTGAAAGATATGGGATGCAATAAGAGCCACCATAGTTTAATATTATCTTTTTAACTTAATGTTTCAACTAAATGCATATTGAAGTTACACAGAGTCATAGCGATGCGATGCAAAGGGAAAAACTATGAACAAAAATGGAAAAAACATATAGATTAGTAATTTATACATTTATCATAACTAGATAGAGACAACATTGTAGCTGTTGAGGCTATTGTGTTGGAAAATGAGCAAAATGAAAAATGTGCAATTTAATATTAGTAATTTATTTTAGATTCATGACATCATAAGATATGTGTTACAACAAGAGCCACCATAGTTTAAGCTAATATTTAGTAATTCATATGTTTATCACAATTGGATAAAGACTACACATAATATCTATTGTGTTATAAAATTAACAAAGTGAGAAAACATGCTATTTAATATTAATATTTTTATAGATCGAGGTATATTAAACAATAATTAATGCTTATGTGTTCTAAGCTTCTGTCCCGTGCTCTCGCTGATGGACTAGTTTGATTAATGAGAAGGTTAGCCAGAGATTAGAGTTATCTCTCTCTCTCGCTCCCTGACACCCTTGCCCTCTCTCTCTCTCCCGCTCTATCCCTAGCAACCGGTGCCGAGCACGGCGCTGCCACCTCGCCGCTGGGCGTTTAAGCCACGTCCGATCACCTCCCACTCGTATCCTCTACGCAACAGGATAAGCTCCAACACTTTTCTTCAGGCTTTTCTTGATGGAAAATCATTAAAGATAGTGTCGAGATCAGTAGTGTCCATGACATTTCTCAATGCAGCATATAGCCAAATCATTCAATCTTTCTTGTGACATAGATCTCCTTAAATAGTTTTTCAATAATTTTAATTTAGAGAAACATAGGATCCAGTCGGCAGTGAGCAGTGGCATCGCACCCGTTGCACCTCCCCTATTCCAACCCTGTCCGTGATGAACCTGTCCCCCGTAGAGATCCACACTGCTGTTGCTCCACCAGCCTCTGATGGACTCATCATTGTCGCTCAAGCCTTCCATTGTCTAGATCTCCTGCACTATTACGCTCAAGCCCACTCTCTACCTAGTCGCGGAGCCATGATTTCAACAACCTTGGGTATTTCCACATTAAAAATAATCCAGACAGCTACTTAGCTGCCGCCTGTCTCCCTGCATTTAGCCTCCTCGCCGTCGCCTGCACCCCGCCGCGCAGCCTGCGCTACCACACCACGCCATGTCAGTCGGCCTAGAGATTTTGGAATGTCACACTCGGGCTTACTCGAGCAGTCGGGGGCACAGGGCATGAGGGTGCCAGGGAGGAAGGGGTGGAGAGGCACCTCGACACTTGATCAAATATGTTTATTTTTTTCCTCTCATATCATTGCCTTGAAACCTGTCCTTGACACTATACTTGCCTCGCTGCATTGTCGTCTTGAATCATGTCTTCACAAGCTGACCAGCCAGACATGGGAAACTACCAACACAAGAAAATTCCAATTAATACCGTAAGCTACAACATATGACAAGAGTATAAGATCATTGGTCCACAACACATCAAGCCAACCACTAGTCCGCCTTGTACTCGGCTACTGCTGTGTGGTGTGAGTGACTTTTATGCACTATTGGACTTCTTAAAAACAGGATATTCCACATTGGTAACAATGGGATGTCCCAATCAAAAATGGGAAAAGCGAAATGATCGAAAAAGGCACATTTTGAATCCCATTTTCAAATGTGCTACAAATAGAAAACACAAATGGTCAGGATAACCATAAATAAACACATATGGGTTGAATGTAGAAATTGGACTGAGACGGAATATGGTTTATTCCGAGTGTTTTAGCCCCTAATAATAATATCCCACCGAAAGTTACTCTACTTTATTTTTTGAGCCACACCGAAGTGGGGGAATACTAAATATTTATTAAAAGAAGGCGAGCAATAAGTTTATAAGAGGTTCAGGAAACAAAGAAGGAATAAAGTTGACCATATTTCTTTCTTATGGTCATGTGGATAAAAAAATATAAAAGGGCCACAATCAATCTCAAAGGAGTCAATCTTGACTCCCACTATAATGCCCTTAGATCATCCTTTTGGTTGGATCCATTCCCAGTCGACTACCTCAACCAGCAACAAGAACAAAAGATAGCCGCATCCCGCCATATGCAGGAAGACCACCAAATTTTCGGCTTCGTAGCACCATAAGCACAAAAAAAAATTCATTGAAAATAGATTGCAATCAACAAAGCTAACCATGTTTTGATACCATACCGAAGAATAAATAGGGTCCAGAGGATTTTAGATGTAGGGTTTATGAAGAGAAGAGCCATGAAGAGCAAGTTGGGAAACTCTCGATCGGTCCTTGTGGTGTTCTTTTATCTATCAATTTACAGTTTTCTCGTTTTGTCCATACAAATTAAGTAATCGATTACACAACAAGGCTTACACACCGAAGTAACACATGAGATTGCTTAACAGACAACATTTAATTAAATCGATCTGAATATTCCGTCATTACAAGCTTCCTCTACAACTTAATGCCTGGATGACACACACTTAGTAACATCAAATCCTTTAGGCATTGAACCTGCTGAACAATTTGATCATCTTTGCTAAAGATCTGATACATTGCAGACAAATCAACATGACTGGACAATTGTCGATGCAAGGATTAGTTTTCAATAATAACGGTAGCAGCAATCGCTTTTCTTTCTGAACCCAGTCCACCACTGAGCTCTGCAAGTGGGCTGGCGCATGCGCAATCCATGAGCTCATGAAATCTTTGTTCGCACTTGTCCATCCCTGTACCTTCTTGCCCTGCTGTCGTTTAGGACGTTTTCCACCCATACCTTTCCTAATGGTTAGTCCCCATGAGATCTTCTCGACCTGAAGGTATGCGCTGCCATGCTTTGACTTCCACAGCATCTGATATGAGGTAGCTGCCAAACTCCCACGGAGACAATCTACTGCCTTTGGTATCATAATGTCGCCCTACTGTTCAAAGGAAATTTTTTATTTTGCATACAAGCCATGTTGCACGGCCACCCCATTGATAATTTCTGTTGCCGAACCCTCCACTGAAGGCAACAAATCTTCAGAAGAGGCATGGGGACAGAAATGCACTCCAAGTTTCAGATAAGGAAATTCACTCATGGGGCTTGTTGGTTTGCTTTTGCCATCGGCAACTGCCCTCTGCCTGTTGTTCCCAACAGACAGTGCGACATGGCCTAGCAAATACACATGGATAACAGGTTCCATGTATATATCACATGGCACAGATACTGATGATCGATGAGCTTATGGAATAGCCACTTTGGGCGGAGTGATGATCTTGTTGCTGGCAACAAAGAGGTTTTGGTCGGAACCATTTAGAATAGATGGTGTGAAGATTGTTCTGGTGTTCAATACAATGGCCAAAAATAGAATAAGCATCAGACACCCAGCACAAGTCTTGTGTTGGTACCTGGGTGAGCTTTGTCTTCACAGTCTCAACTGTTGACCTTAAGTGAGGTGTGAACAGGTGCAGGCATCTGACTACAACCCCAACTATGTTTGTACTCTTGGAGAGCTGTAAGTTGAGGGCTAGAAGGAAATTATTCTCTGGAGCATTGGCATCCTCAAGTAAGAATATTAGGCTAACCTCCATCCCATGCTCTGGTGGACTAAAGGGCTGTAGAAGAAATGAGAGATGTTGACCCCTGCTAACAAGGCAATACTTTGTGCCTTTGCCAGCGAGAAGATGGCGTATAAGAGGGTCAAAAAACAAGTATCTGCATGGTGTACCACCAAGCTCCACGTACCTCAAGAATTCGTTCGCACCTTCTGCAAACCGTTCGAATCTCCGGGTGGCAGTGGATCCTCTCAGCTCATCATCGTTACCGAGACTAAAGATTAACGAAACATATGACATGGCAGTATGAGTGATTCTCTTTGGAAAGGATGAGCTCCTTACCGCTTGCTGTACTTCTTCCTCTTCTTGCAAGCGCTGCCTACACTACACCTGCGCAGAGTGTTGTCGCACTCCTGTGAGGCGCGCTTGAGCTTGCTCCGCCAACACAGCAGTGGTGCACTGGTGACGTTCCACTTGTTGGAGGTCTCAAGGGCGGCCTCCATCTTGATGTGTGCCATCTCCATCCTCTCAATGTTCTCCTTTGCATCTGACTTGTCCTGATAATCCTCCTTGATTCTTGATAAGACTTGGTTAACAGCCTCCTGGGCCACTGCAGAACTGACCATCTCTGCTGCCATTAAGATTGATCAAACAAACCTGCTGTATAATCGGTTGTCCTGCATGCAGAGAAAGAAAGAAAAATATTCCATACATAATACGAGCCAGATTGTCCCTATTCATCAGATTAAAATCTAATCGATCTTGTAAAGTGCAAGTGCGGAGAGGAAATCAAAACCTGGTGTGGTTGAACAGTTGAACTAGTTGTAGTGTCACAGAAAGTCGTACCAGCACTATGACAGTCTAAAACCATGATAGCACACACAAGAGGTTGGGGAATCTTGCCTGTTCAGCCAGGCAGTTGTGAATTGTGATCATACATATAGAGAGGTACTATAATTGTGAGAGGGACATCGCAGAAATTTGTCAAGAGTGACACGGACGCAGGATGACTTTTGTGTAGAGGGTAAAATTAAACTCTGAGGTTGGCATAGAGTGCATACCAGCTAACTGTAAGTGATGATGTACAGAGGTTGATGACATAATTGTGCCGAGCTCCTCCCAGGATGCAGTTTTGGCCTTGCTAAATGATCTGAATTCTAAGTTCCAAACCCCGAGGTAAGTCGTGTGACGGGTTTTGCAGGTGCACAGCAGACGGTCAGTGATGTCATCGTTGGCCGGCGGCGGGATACGGGCAAACCATGGCGTGGACCGCTTCTGCCGAGACGAATTTCTCCGCGGATCACCATTGCTGATGCCATGTCTAAGGCGGTGATGGTCTGGGGCGGCGTCGGAACAGCGACAGCACCTTCCCAGGCTCTGCTGGTCATAGTCCATACTTCGTCTACGACACCGGTGGTCCACGTAGAGATCCGGAGAGTACGTGATTCACGTACATTACACGATTCCATTTTTGAATACGCAGGCTACTCTGGATGCGTCACTCTTCGACTAAAGAAAGGTAGAGGACGGTTGGACAAGATTAATTTTCCTGTTGCTCTCGGTTGCCTTCTTTCTCGTCCAGGACACCGGCGACACAGGTTTGCGCCGCCAACCACACACTTGGTTGCGATGAATATGCACACAGGAAGACTTTGAAGACTTTGGAGTAGAGGGCAACAAGCACTGAGGTCGACGTATGTATCACATCTTGGAGACCGCCAGAATTTATTGATATATAGACACCTCTAGGAACGCATCGGACATGGGCCAGAATTATTCATCCGTAAGACCAACCGGAGTCAAAGTCGACGGTGACTAAGCGTAGAAATCTTGGCTGGAAAGCTTGGAGCAAAAAGCAGAACCCGAACCCGACGGCATGCATACCAGTGTCACGGGTAGGTTACCACGAGTCCACGACAAGCAGGGGCGGGGCCCCAATTTGGGCATAGGGAGGGTCTTTAAGCCGACAACAATAATCATACATAATGAAATGCATGCATGGAAAGAATATAGACAACAATTAAATAAACATTTGTCTTATGATACATAACACAGCTGAAAAACTTAACAAAAAAGGGGAACAAAATTAATTAATTTGCCTTAGGTCTCTAGCCTTCATCCAATTAATCTAATTCTTGAACTAGAAATAAATCATGATAATAGTAGAAACAAAGAAAATCAGAAATATAACAAAAAGAGTCCTAAATAATACATATGCCATTAAAGATTGATTCATAGTGAGTGCAGTGTAGTCCTTTATTTGAGGAATATCTGATCTACACCTTCATTTGCCGCCCTCTTCCTATTAGCTCTGACTCCACCACTTATGTGCGATTTATAATGGTAAGGCGTGACGTTGTGCGGAAGCTACCTTGACCATGAGAGATGGGAGGGAAGAAGGAAGCAACCACGACGCTGCCTTGTGGGTGAGGGAGACTAAAAAGAGTAGACTGAAGAGCATGGAGGCTTTCCAGACCTGCGAGATATTTCTCGAAGGACAGAGTTATTGCACAACGGGTCTCGCTCCCACGTGTGTGCGCGACCCCGCCCTCTGCCGCCTCTCACCACTGCCCACGGCCACCAGCGACTTGCCGCCTCGCTGCACCGCCCGCCCTCCGCCCCCGCCCGTCAACCCCAACCTCTCGCCGCCTCCATCAACTGGTCACTGTCGAGACTCCCCCGCCCCTGTCCCCCCCCCCAAACTGCCGCCTCTACCACCAAGGCCGGTAGTGCTCCGCCATCTCGCAGCACCGCCTACCCACCACAACCCACCGCCAGGACAAACCTGCAGCCAGAGATCTACAGCCGGGGAAGATGGCCAAACCCTAACTCGCCTTCGACAGAGGCGGCGCCGCCGGCGCTGGCACGATGGTGGCATGGTGTTGCAACCGTGTGACAATCGCCTATTAGAGTTTGCATTTCCAGACTATAGAGCATTGCCATGCCATGAGGAGCAGTTGACATGGTCGCTCGCATGTAGACACAAAACCAATGGACGTTGGCTGTTTCAGTTACTAGCGCGTGGGCCGGGAAGCGGATCACGCTTTTACACATCTGACCCAGGTGTTGTAGGCCCATTTACCCATTTGCACGCATATCTTATATTTTCCCTGGTGATCATCGGCTAGTAGCTGAATTAAAAAAAACTTTTTACTAATAATTAAAAACTTTATAGTAGCATACTATGAATAAACTTCGTACTCTCAACTTCAATACTTTGCAGATCCTTCGCCCATGTTTGAATCAGAAGATCAGCATAGGCTCTCATGAAACCCTCCATACGCTTTGTCGTGTATGCTCACATTACTTACATGTGTGGATCGGCCCCACGAGAAACCGGCCACACATCGGGAACGAACGTAGGCCACGAGCATTAAAAGACCAAGGAATGTCATGATACACTTTGTCTAGATATATAGTAAAATCAATGTATTTAGAAATTCAAAAATGTCTTATAATTTGGAATAGAGTATTACATTTATAGGTCAAACCTAGATAATTTTATATTCGCAACACACACCAACATTTGAACTTTTTGTGTACATCAAAGGTAGTACAAACAAGTGGAAATCCTTCAGGGGTTTAACGTGCTGGACATCTTGAGCTTCCTTGCCAAATAACTGTAATCTTGCAAAAACAACATCGTGATTGGACAATCATGGACGCAAGAATTAGTTTTCAATAACAACGGTAGTGTGGGTCGCTTTTGTTTCTGAATCCAATTGTCAACGATCGAGCCCTGCAACTGGGCAGGCATGTGCGCGACCCACGAGCTAATAATGAACTCACTGTTAGCACCTGTCCATCCCTGAGCTGGAACCTTCTTGTCCTGCCGTTGCTTACAGCGTTTTCCAACTTTGTCCTTCCTAGTAGTTGCTCTCCATGAGGTCTTCTTGACCCGAAGGTACGCGCTTCCATGCTTGGACTTCCACGACATCTGATATGAGGTAGCTTCCCGATTCCTACTAAGGCAATCTACTGCTTTTGGCATCGTGATCTCGCCCAGCTGTTCAAAGGAAATGTTTGCATACATGGCACAATGTTTGGCTTCATCGTTGATTATCTCTGACACTGAACCCCCAACAGTATGTGACAAATCTTCAAAAGAGGCATGAGGCGAGAAGTGTGCTCCAAGTTTCAGATATTGAAAGTCTCTTGTGGGGCTTGTTTGGCTTTCGCCATCGATGACTGCGCTCTGCCTATTGTTCCCAACTGACAGTGCAACATGTCCTAGCAAATACACTTGGATAACTGGTTCCATGTATATATCACATGTCAATGATTCTGAAGAGGAGCTCTGGGCATGGAGATGTTCTAGTTGTTGACAGCAAAATGGGTTTGGTCGAAACCATTTAGACCACCACATGGTGTGAAGACTGTTCTGTTGATCATCACAGCCATAAACTGAATAAGCATCAAACACCCAACACAAGTCTTGCGTTGGCATCTGGGTCAGCTTTGTCTTTACAGTGTCGGCTGTGAAGCTCAAGTACGGTTTGAACCGCTGCAGGCATCTGACTACAACCCCAACTATGTCAGTACTCTCAGAGAGCTGTAAGCTTAGGGCAAGAAGGAAATTATTCTCTGGCACATTGCCATCCTCAAGTAAGAATACCAAGCACGCCCCCATCCCATGGTTGGGTAGACTAAAGGGCTGTAGAGTAAGTGAGAGATGTTGGCCCCCACGAACAAAGCAATCCTTTGTTCCTTTGCCAGCAAGAAGATGGCGTACAAGAGGCACAGAGAACATGTATCTGCATGGTGTGCAACCAAGCTCCACGTACCTCAAGAACTCGCTGGCACCATCAGCAAACCGCTCAAATCGCCGGACGGCAGTGGATCCTCTTGGCTTGTTGTCGCTACCGCTGCTAAACATTGACGAAACAAATGACATGGCAGTATGAGTGACCCTCTTAGGAAAGGAGGAGCTCTGTAGCCCTTGTTTCACTTCTTCCTCTTCTTGCAATCGCTGCCTGCACCGGCGCAAAGTGTGGTCGCACTCCTGTGTGGCACGCTTGAGCTTGCTCCTCCAGCGTAGTAGTGGCGGGCTAGTGATGTTCCACTTGTTGGATGCCTCAAGGGCGGCTTCTAGCTTGATGTGCGCCATCTCCATCCTCTCTATGTGCTCCTTTGCATCTGACTTCTCTGCATAACCCTCTTTGATTCTTGATAAGACTTCATTGACAGCCTCCTGGGCCACCGCAGAACCAACCATCTCTGCTGCCATTAAGACTGATCAAAGCAACCTGTAGAATTGGTTGTCCTGCATATGCACGGAAAGAAAGCAAAATATTGCATACATATATGAGTCAGATTGTCCCTGTTCATCAGTCTAAAATCTATGATTGATCCTGTAAACTGCAAGTGCAGAGAGCAATCAAAACCTGGCGTGGTTGAAAACTTGCACTAGCTGTAGGGTCTCAGAAAGTTGACACCACAGCAACTCAGAAACAAGAGTTGGGGAATCTATCCTGCCCAGCCGGCCAGTTGTGACCATACATATTGAGAGGTACTACATTTACGAGAGGGACATCGTGGAAATTTATCAAGATTGATAACAACACAGGAGGACTTTGAATATAGGGAAAAGACAATTAATAACTGATGTAGAGGCAAAGTAGCAGTGAGGCTGATGTACGGATCATATGACAGCATAGATAAAATCGCGATCAGGACCGAGCAATCTAATCGACGGTGGACTAATAAACGTAGAATATAAGTATGTACATGTGTCGTGTTGTTACCCAAAAAATATACTACCACTATGATATTCAAAATATCACTATTACATGAGTCATATAACGCCTGTGCTATAGTTGTCAGTTAAATATATGATTTTAATTATTTATTATTTGTCACTACTAAAGAAAATCTCTTCAAAGGCGGCCGATGCCTCTACAGAGGCGGTTGGCCCAGCCGTCTTTGCTCTTTCATCTCTACAAATGAACGATTTATTGAGACGGTTCTCCAGCCACCTCTTGAAATTGATTTGCTGTATTTCGAGATGCCTCTAGAAATTATTGTCCATAAATCAGAAATTTGGGCCCAATAAATAGAAAAAAAACTCAATCTTGGGAGACCTGACAGCCACATGCGCACCGTAGCAAGTCCAACAACTATTCGCGTGAAAAACGTGCGCGACCTCAGACCTTGCGTGTTCATCCCCTAACCACTCCAAACATGACACACTTGTATCTATTTGGGACTACCGTCCTCCTCATTTTATCTTCATCTGATTTTCACATAAGTATTCCGGATTCTAAACAAATTCAAATAAAAAAGTTGTCAACTACATAGTTGCATAACCTTTTGAGATACACAATTTTGGTTTTGGTCGTTTCTCCATCTGATGTTGTGTGAACATTTCAAATTTAAAATGTGAGAAATTCAAACGTAGATTTTCCATGCATAAATGATTTGAAATGAAAAAGTTGGCAACTATAAAGTTGCATAACTTTCAGAGATCTACAACTTTTGTTTTGGTCGTTTCGCCATCTGTTGAACTTTCAGAAATGCATGCACGGAAAGAATATAGACAACAAATAAATAAATATGTGTTATGATACATAAGAAACTGAAAAACTTAACAAAAAACAATAAATATTACAAAAAAAGGGGAACAAAATTATTTAATTTACCTTAGGTCTCTAGCCTTCGTCGAATTAATCTAATTCTTAGACTAGAAAAAAATCATGATAATAGTAGAAGCAAAGAAAATCAGAAATATAACAAAAAGAGTCCTAAATAATACATATGCCATTGAAGATTAATTCGTAGTGAGAGCAATGTAGTCCTTTATTTGGGGAATATCTGATCTAGACCTTCATTTGCCGCCGTCTTCCTATTAGCTCTGACTGCACCACTTGTGTGCGATTTATAATGGTAAGGCGTGACGTTGTGCGGAAGCTACCGTGACCATCAGAGATGGGAGGGAGGAAGGAAGCAACCATGGCGCTGCCTTGTGGGCTAGGGAGACTCAGAAGAGAAGACTGAAGAGCATGGAGGCTTTCCAGACCCGCGAGATATTTCTGGATAGACAGAGTAATCGCACGACGGGTGTCACTCCCACGTGAGCGCGCGACCCCACCCTCTGCATCCTCCCACCACCGCCCACGGCCACCGGTGACATGCCGCCTTGCTGCACCGCCCACCCTCGGCCCCCGCCCATCAACCCCAACCTCTGCTAATTCGCCGCCTCCATCAACTAGTCACCGACGAGACTCCCCCGCCCCTGTCCGCCTAAACTGCCGCCTCCACCACCAAGGCTGGCAGGACTCCGCCGTCTTGCAGCCCCGCCTACCCACCATAACCCACCACTAGGCCAACCTACCACCGGAGATCTAGAGCCAGGGAACACGGCCAAACCCTAATCCGCCTTCAGCGGAGGCGGCGCCACCGGCACCAGCATATCATGGTCGCACGGTGTTGCAACTGCGCGATTGTCGCCTGTTAGAGTTTGCATTTCCAGATTGAAGAGCATTGCCATGCCACGAGGAGCGGTTGACATGGTTGCTCGCACGTAGACACACACCAATGGACGTCGACTGTTTCAGTTACCAGCACGCGGGCCAGGAAGTGGATCACTCTTTTACGCATCTGACCTAGCTAGCAGCAATCTTATATTTGTAGGCCCATTTACCATTTGCACGCATATCTTATATTTTCCCTGGTGATCATCGGCTAGTAGCTGAATTAAAAAAAAAACTTTTACTAATAATTTAAAACTTTATAGTAGCATACTATAAAGAGACCTGCTCCCGTACTCCTCTTTCAAAAAATTACCACTATCCCAGGCTAGGACATCACTGTCGGTTCAAAACCCTCCTTCACTGCTAGATTTTGAACCGACAGTGGCATACCGACAGTGATGGGGTCACATCATTGCCGGTAACTGCCAATGATGATCAAGGCACCACTGCCAGTTCCTAGCACCACCTGGCAGTGTCCAGTTGAGCCAATACTGTCGGTTTGTAGCTCAAGCCGACAGTGATGGTCAAGGTAGAAATGTCGGCTGGTGGCTCAAGCCGGCTGTGTTGGTCAAGCCAACACTGTTGGTTGGTGGCTCAAGCCGGTTGTGTTGGTCAAGTCATTACTGTCGACTGGTGGCTCAAGCCGGCTGTGTTGGTGAAGGCAACACTGTCGGCTGGTACCTCAAGCCGGCAGTGATGGCATCAACAACACTGCCGGTTTGTATGTCAAGCAGACAGTGATGTCTTAAGCAACATTGTCGGCTCGTACTTAAGCCGGCAGTGCCCCCGTTACCGTCACTGCCGGTTTTGTGGTAACCGGCGGTGATCTCTTTTTCGCATTTTATTATTTTATAATTTATTTTATTGTTTTCTTAAATCGGGTTTCGCTTTATATTCGCTACGTAGATGGCAGGACCATCAATAATAAACATTACAAATGTTATGGTTACAGTTTAAATGTACTTATCAAGATCTCGATCTCTCAAAATAAAAAAGAAATTACAATAGTCTAGCGAGCTGCTCTGGCCATACTGTGCCTTGTACTTCACCGACTATGCAATGGAAAATGTTCCGTTTCTTTCCAATATCTCATTCAAGATGAAGGATGCTAGCTCCGATGACAGTGCTATGATCTCCATTTCTAACAACCTTTGGTGTTTAAATTTCTTGCGCTATCGTTCAAAAAAGATGATATCGAAAGGCACAAAGGTAAGAGAAAAAGTAGATCGTTTTGTTGAATTAACATATATAAATGAAATGGGGATTATACACACCAAAGCATCTGCAACATCCGATTTTCCGCCGAGGTAGCGAAGCATTGCCCACATTATGTAGAACCTGCATTCATTGTTTCTCACCGGCTGCTTTAGGGTCTCCAATTCCATTGGTGCAACCTAGAATGAGACCTTGGTCCCACCGATCATTCTTGCCTGAACACTGTGCCATATTATAAAGTGTGAAAAAAGAGGCAACATTAGAATGTGCTATGTACGATTAGAAAATAATATGTTATTAGGTTCACTTACTTATTCAGCACTTTGACTAAGGGATCGAGCAAAGAAAGTTTCTTTTTCTTTGAGTCCCACACCTCAATACGATTTTTGCTAATATCGATAACAATGAAGACGTAATGGTTGCTGCATTCATAGAATCATAGTTAACGAATCATCATAACTAAAAAAAGAAGCATGAACATAAGAGCAGAGAACACATACTCACAGTAAGTGGTTTTTTTATTCATCTTGAATTGTCCCGTCAAAATCTTTTCAGTTTCTATGGTAAGGGTGATCCTTACGTAGGAACCTAACAGCATGATGTCGGCTTCTAGTTTGCTCACTGGATAATCCTTATACAATAGTATTTTACCATCTTGTCTCATTATCTTTAGCTTTCTCAGCTGTCTATCACTAAGAAATCCGCTCTCTACATTACATAGCAGCCGAGAAATCCTATCGTCATCTTCGGTGTCGTCAGCTAGCGTATTCCTAAACACATCATTAATGGTAGTCATAGGTTCCATGTTGACATCGTGTTCCTCAGCAGCCTCCTGGAAGGCTACGTCAGGCATGGCCACATCATCATTGCTTTCCTACGGAACATTCACACCAACCTTCCTATGCATACTCCATATCGTATAGTTTGGCATGAACACCCCAGTAATCAAGTGCATTCGTACAGACTCAATTCTCTCCCATTTACATTGATTAATGCAATCTTTGCATCGGTAGAAGACAGGGTTTCCATCTCCAACATCGGTTTTGGCATCAGCGATTAACTTGCTGACGCCAAGCATGTACTGCTTGTCCGTTCGTGATTGATGCATCCACTCTCAATCCATCTCTGCACAAAAAAATATTGAGGCTTCATGCCACATAATAATGCGGAGAGTAATTAAAGAGGAATTACATATACATTCTACAATTATTTAATTGTCAACCTATTTTAGGAAAAAAAATATTCTACACTAAATATTGAAAAATTGAAATTGGTAGCCCCGACCATACAAATTGAAAATCATAGCCCCATAGAAAAACAATTATTGCACAATAATGAGGAACAATTTTTCTACTCTATGCCACAAAAAATGGAGCACTAACTTAAAAAAAGACTAAAATAGGAGACATGATCGTGAACAATAATTTAGCTCTAAACAATGCATTGTTAGGTGACATGTATTAATTTTTTTATTAAAATTGAAAAAGAATCTACTCTACGCCTAACAAGAACTAATTATAGCATCACATATCGAAAATCATCTTCACCACCATGTAATTAGCTAGGAATTTAAATGGGTTCAAAGACCCCAACCTTTTGGATGATTAGATTCTCCACAATTTGCTTGGATGCCTTGCACAAAGTCCAATTGAAAAGTGCTCTCGAGAATGGAGAAAGAACTAGATTGAGAGAATCAAGCAATGTAGCCATCAAGACAACGCTAATTAAGCAACAAAATCAAAGGAGTGAATGCTTGGTACTAACCTTAAAGCAAAAAGATCAAGCCATTCTTCAAAATTCAAGAGCTAGCTTCATGGTGAAGAGCAGCCGCAACAATGGAGGGAGGAGGCCAAACGCGCGCCTCTATGCTCCGGATGGAAGAGAGGAGGGAGGAGAGGATGGCTGCAGCTTTTTGTAGTGTCATTTTATCACCGTCGGTTCTTGGCTAGAACCGATAGTCATAGCACCAAAGCACTGTCGGTTTTTAGCTAGAACCAGCAGTGATATGTGACCGTCCACTAGCTGTCGGTTCTAACTAAAAACCGACAGTGATGTGGACATTCACTGTCGGTTTTGGCCCACCCCCAATCATTTTCTTATTTTAAAGCCCAAAACCGACAGTGAAGGGTCATCAGCGTTTGGCCAAAATCCGGCAGTGATGAGGCTGGAAGTGATACCTGATTTTGTAGTAGTGTACACGTATCTCGATGCAGCTTAACTAATAAATAAAATATTTCTTAATTATTTTTCACCTGTGTCACGCATGGGCTTGGGCCCAGAGCGTCCTATCCAGCCCGTGCCTAGCTTGAACCAAAGCCGAACCCATCCCTCTCCATGGTCAATATGCTTTGTTCGGATTCTGCTCCTATTCACTGCTTGCATATAATTCGACTGCATCTTGATGCATTGCTTCGTCGGTAGCGCCAGCAGCGGCATCCATGGCTGCCATCGTGGTGGCCGGCCTCACACACATGACTTGCAGCCGGCAGCGGACGTCCATCAGGATTAAGGAAGTGGCACAGTCACGCGGACTTGCTCACACGAAATAGGACAGCGCCACCGAACCTCCTCTTTGGAAATCGAACGGAATCCCCTGTCGAGGAAGGGAATGGAGGAGTTGCTGGCTGGAAGCAAAGAATCCTCCAATGGATGAGTCGTCGCAAAGCCTCGCCTGGCAGGCTCTCACACGGAAATGGAAGAGATGAACCGATGAACGGGATCCAAAGGAAGGGGGATCGAGTAGACATGAGTTCAGCTTGTGTCTACGCTTAGCGGGCCGAGAACAAGCTTGCGAGACCCAGGCGAAAATTGATCAAGAAAATATTTAATTAATTAGCTGAGCTGCATTGAGATGCATGTGATTTTTTTGAAAGAGGAGTATTGGAGGAAGAGCCTACTATAAACAAACTTTGTACTCTCAACTTCAATACTTTACAGATCCTTCGCCCATGTTTCAATCAGACGATCAGCATAGGCTCTAATGAAACCCTCCGTATGCTTTACCATGTACGCTGACATTACTTACATGTGTGGATCAGCCCCACGAGAAACCGGCCACACATTGGGAACGAACGTGACCCACAAGCGTGAAAGGACCGAGGAATGTCATGATACACTATGTCTAGATATACAATAAAAGCAACGTATCTAGAAATGTCAAAATATCTTATAATTTGGAATAGAGAGAGTATTACATTTTATAGGTCCACCCAAGATAACCTTATATTTGCAACACACACAAACAGCTGAACTTTTTTATATACATCAAGCTAGTACAAGCAAGTGGAAACCCTTCAGGGGTTTAACGTGCTGGACATCTTGAGCTTCCTTGCCAAATAACTGTGATCTTGCAAAGACAACATCGTGATTGGAACAGTCATGGACGCAGGCATTATTTTTCAATAACAAAGGTAGTGTGGATCGCTTTCGTTTCTGAATCCAATAGTCAACGATCGAGCCCTGCAACTGGGCAGGCATTTGCGCTATCCACGAGCTAACGAATTCATTGTTAGCACTTGTCCATCCCTGAACTGGAACCTTCTTGTCCTGTCGTTGCTTACGGCGTTTTCCAATTTTGTCCTTCCTAGTAGTTGCTCTCCATGAGGTCTTCTCGACCCGAAGGTACACGCTTCCATGCTTGGACTTCGATAACATCTGATATGAGGTAGCTTCGACATTCCCACTAAGGCAATCTACTGCATTTGGCATCATGATCTCGCCCAGCTGTTCAAAGGAAATGTTTGCATACATGCCACATTGTTTGGCTTCATCGTTGATTATCTCTGACACTCAAACCCCGACAGTAGGTGACAAATCTTCAAAAGAGGCATGAGGCGAGAAGTGTGCTCCAAGTTTCAGATATGGAAAGTCTCTCGTGGGGCTTGTTTGGCTTTCGCCATCCTTGACTGCGCTCAGCCTATTGTTCCCAACTGACAGTGTAACATGTCCTAGCAAATACACTTGGAAAACTGGTTCCAAGTATATATCACATGGCAATGATTTTGAAGAGGAGCTCTGGGCATGGGGATGGTCTTGTTGTTGACAACAAAATGGGTTTGGTCGATACCATTTAGAACACATGGTGTGAAGTCTGTTCTGTTGTTTATCACAGCCATAAACTGAATAAGCATCGAACACCCAACACAAGTCTTGCGTTGGCATCTGGGTCAGCTTTGTCTTCACAGTCTCGGCTATGGAGCTCAAGTACGGTATGAACAGCTGCAGGCATCTCACTACAACCCCAACTATGTCAGTACTCTCAGAGAGCCGTACACTGAGGGAAAGAAGGAAATTATTCTGTGGCACATTGCCATCTTGAAGTAAGAATACCAAGCCCCCCCCCATCCCATTGTTTGGTAGACTAAAGGGCTGTAGAATAAGTGAGAGATGTTGGCCCCCACGAATAAAGCAATACTTTGTTCGTTTGCCAGCGAGAAGATGCCGTATAAGAGGCACGGAGAACATGTATCTGCATGGTGTGCCACCAAGCTCCACATACCTCAAGAACTCGGTCGCACCATCTGCAAAGCGCTCGAATCGCCGGACAACGGTGGATCCTCTGAGCTTGTCATCGTTACCCCTACTAAAGATTGACGAAACAAATGACATAGCAGTATGAGCAACCCTCTTAGGAAAGGAGGAGCTCTGTACCGCTTGCTGCACTTCTTCCTCTTCTTGTAATCGCTGCCTGCACCGGCGCAAAGTGTGGTTGCACTCCTGTGTGGCACGCTTGAGCTTGCTCCGCCAGCGTAGCAGTGGCGCGCTGGTGACGTTCCACTTCTTGGATGTCTCAAGGGCAGCTTCTAGCTTGATGTGGGCCATCTCCATCCTCTCTATGTGCTCCTTTGCATCTGACTTCTCCGCATAACCCTCCTTGATTCTTGATAAGACTTCGTTAACAGCCTCCTGGGCCACCGCAGAACCGACCATCTCTGCTGCCATTAAGACTGATCAAAGCAACCTGTAGAATCGGATGTCCCGCATGCAAGAAAGAAATAAAAATATTACATACATATATGAGTCAGGTTGTCCCTGTTCATCAGTCTAAAATCTATGATTGATCTTGTAATCTGCAAGTGCGGAGAGGAAATAAAAACCTGGCGCGGTTCACCATCGTTTTGCTCAATAATTATCTTCCTTTGAACGTTGCAATAACCAACTAACCGTACGATGTTGGGATGTTGGACCTTCATATGGTTACTGACTTCATTCAAAAACTGTTTGTCGCCAATTCCTTGGCTCGTATGAAGCAACTTCACCGCTATCTGTTTCCCTTTGTATTCTGCCTGTTCTAAGGAAATAATTGAAAGTGTTTCTTATTCAATGTAAAGTGTAAACTTAAAGAAAATAACAAGTTATTACCTTGTAAACTTCTCCATAACCACCCCAACCAACTATTTTTCTCTACAGAAAAATTGTCAGTAATCCTTGTCAACTCCTAAGTTTATTTCTAGATCCATGAATGATCGAATGATATAGACCAGGCCTTTTCTGCATACATAGAATAAACAAAATAAAGTAGTTATTTTCACCATTTCGAGATGCCCTGGGTATATACGCTATTACTATTTTCTTCGGCATTAGCAATCAAGTACAGCAAAATGTGTCAGAAAAACAATAACTGGCACTGAAATTCTTGGTTGGTAGCTGACACCAACATTTGAGAAGTAAGGTGCTTAGATCCAAAGCACAGGTTACCATTCTGCATTTTAGGGTACCCCATCTGTCACAAATTATATGTCGTCTTGGCTTTTTTAGGTACATTGCTTTTGCTATGCACTTAAATATACGATATGTCTAAATACATACTAAAAATTGTGTACGTAGAAATACCAAAACGACCTATAAATTGGAATGGAGGAAGTACATAATCAAATGATACATCCTTTTCTTCAACTGACCTGGTGACAGAGACCATTGGTTGCATGATTGTGTTTTGTCTGCAACAGAGTGCAACCTTGGAAAATGATTAATCAAGGTGTTGTCCAAAATCTCTATACTTAGCAGTATTTTCATAGGTTTTGGTATGTGCTATGCTTCTATGATCGTTCATAGTGCAGCAAATAGTTGTGCTCAACCTGTTTCTGAACCTTGGAAACGGACAACCTTTTCAGGAGTATGTCTGCAATCCATCGATATGCTAAGAAGAGAGTTCTATTGCCTTCTTCACTTACATTTCAGAATGACATACCTGTGCATTACATCTTAGGATTTGTGTGTATGCGTAGGGCTAGTTTTTATCTAACTAATTTTTAGCCCTAATACATTTAAATATGGAGGTAATAAGTCCTTAATTAGTTGTTAGCCAACTATACTTGGCCAACCGGGCCGCCCGGCACAGCACTGGCACGGGCACGGCCAGGCACAGTCAGGCACGGCACGATCAGGCACGGCAAATTAGCCGTGCCGTGCCTGATAGTGCCGCCGTACCAGAATTGCGGCCCAGGCACGGCCCTATGGAGGATTAGCCGTGGCGTGCCGTGCCCATCGGCACGACAGCCCCCCGGGACCGTGCCGGCCCGCTGGGGAAGAAGATGCGCCGCCGGCCACGCTGGGGAAGAAGATGCGCCGCCGCCGGCCACGCTGGGGAAGAAGATGCGCCGCCACCGGCCACGTGCTCCTCCGTCGCTGCCGGCCTGTGCACTCCTCCGTCACCACTGGTCGAGCGTCGTGCACTGCTCTGCCGCCGCTGGTTGCCCACCGCTGCTGCAAATGCGCCGGCGCGCCGCCGCCCTGAGGCCCTCGGGGCATGGCCCCGCGACTGCGCGCACCTCCCGCCCCCTCCTGTCTTCGCGTCGGCGCTGCTGAGGAAATGAGTGGGGGGAGAGAGAGGAGGAAGTTAGGGTTTAGGTGAGGGAGGGATGCTTATATACTGGTATCCAACAGCTCTGGTTCATCAGCTGCTCATCAACGGTGGAGAATAAACGGGCCATGTCATGCCGGCCCATTATTCGTGCCGTGCCTGGGCCAGCACTGCGGGCCGACATGGCGGCCCAGGCACGGCACTACGACCAGGCCGTGCCAGGCACGGGCACGAAGCGAGCCGAGCCGGGCTGTGCTTCTTAGTGCCGTGCCTGGGCTGGCCCATAGTGCTCGGGCCAAATGGCCAAATATATAGCCAACTAGCTAGTCAACCTCAACTAATTAGAACTAATTTTTAGACCCAAATAGTAACTAGCTCTAGCTCATCAAAACAGGCCCTTGCACACACTAGTTTCTCTTGAATTTACGCCTTCCCACTGGTGTCTATTATGCTAGTAATTAAAATAAGGTATACGGAGCAGGTGCTTAAATAGAAGTTTTCGTTCGTGCATACACTACACGTCAACAGCATCGCTGAAGGATATAGAATTTGTATGTGCGAAGGAGGTGCTTAACTCAAACCAGAAACGAGATCGAAGATGGAAGCACTAACCTCCTAGAACCCGAAGGTCTTGCGGCCGCCTAAGGTGCCCTGCTTGTGCTTGACTGCTCTCTGAGGATTGATGGAGAGCTAAATATTGCGGCACCACTGATGATTAAGACAGCACATATCCTCAATTAGTTCGGGAGGCCCACAATACGTTTACCAACCCAAGCAAGTTGGCCATGTAACCTATCCTTATAAACAACCAGCAAATTAAAATATCACGGTTAGTCAGCAGCCACCTACTTAACTGGACAGTAGGAAACATGATAGGGAAATATGAACTACTCATCAATTCCATTTCTACGTTTTTTCTCCATTTTCACGAAGCGCCAAGAATTAATGTGGGAGAGAATCATGATTAGCATAGTCCCATGATGCCTATGACTAGTTTCAGGTCATCAGTTGAGTATTCTCATGTAAATAAGCTTCTCAACTCTGATTAGAGAACGACAACAATATTTATTTTCGTTCTAAGTGCATCAGCAATAGTTTGGGAAATGAGAAACATAAAATCCTTCCGAAAAATATCAGATGCAATGTGGATTTCCCAACTATTCATTCATGAACTCTATAGTGCAGGTTCACAGGCTCCATCCTTTGGGCCGGCGCGTTGATGCAGAAAACATCCCAGCCGGAACCAGTGGTGGAGGATAGAAAAAAGTTAAGGTATGGTGAACTCGGTGGCACAAAGAACGTCTAAATTCAAAATCATAACTATTAAAGCAGACTTATGAAAACAAAAATGTTTTGACACAACATTCAAGTGCCTATCCCCGAAAGACAAACGTGATTACGATAAATAATTCCATAACAAGTCATGGCCAAACATTCCTAAGTTTGATGAAAATTACATCATCCAAGGCTCATAAAATTAAAGCTGAAGGCCTGGTGCCTGAAAACAGGAATTGACAGGAAGAATTCAGTGCACAGGTATTGTGAATGTGCAGGTAGAGAAAGAGAAAAGCGGTAGCGATATAAATTGCAGAGGGGCTCAGATGGATGACCTGGTCTCCGGTGAAGTGGACGTGAGGCCGGCCTTGGGCTTAAACTTGAAAACGGCGCGGCGGCGAGCAGCCCGTCCCGCGTCCGCAAGCGCCGCATCATCGTTCGCGGGCTTCTGCGGCGGCCCGTTTTCAGCCGTGTACGCATGTGGCGTTTGTCGCGGCGGCCGCAATCCCGTTTGTCGCTGCTGCCTTGCATGGAAATGAGAATAGTGACTGGTTGTGTACGTGTGTGTTCATTTTCTTATTTACTTCACGATTTTTTTTAGTGATCCATATGTTAGCTAAAAAATATACGTAAGTTACACAAAATACTATGTATCGTTAGGAATATGTGATTGAATTTTTTTTACATTTTTTCACCATTCATGAGTTATCATAAAAACATGCAAGTTAGCATCTATCAGCATACAGATGAAAATCATAAGCTGACTGCTGCTGTCACTGCCTCGCCGTAAGCTCTGAACAAGAAGTCTGAGCTGGCTGCTGCTGCTGACTGCTAAACAAGAGCATACTGCATTAAATTCATTTGATACAACATCTGATTCATTCTAGTTTTACCCTCACAATTACGCATATGTCTAAGGCAAGCACTTGTACCAACATCACGGTTTACCTTGAATAACTTATGGCAGTGTAAGCACCGAGCTTCAGCCACAGTTTCACCGTCATATATTGCCTCAAAATCTTCCCATATCTCAGATGTAAGTTTATGCCTTTTAATCCGATGTGGAGATCCTAATGATTGGCATGGAAAACATATTATTAGATAACAGTAACTACAGCAGATGCAGCAGTAATAAAAACACTGATTAGAAGCATAAAAAGCAATACCAAAAGAGTACATCATCACTTACCATGACCAAGATTGTTTCTTTTTTTCTCCAGAGCAGATGTTGGGGGCTGTGGTGAGGAGTTTGCCAATGTCGTAGATGGAGACATCAGCCTTGGGGATACCCTTGGGGATGATAGCATCATCCTTATCCCTGTTGATCTTGCTGGAATGAGTGGCAACATTGGCCCTGCTGGTGACTTCAACCGTTTTGCTGGTTGTTCTTTTCACTGTTTCACTCCGGATTGCTTCCGCTTAGCTGATGATGAGGAAACTTTCTGCATCACATGGGAACAAAATGTGAACTGCAGAACTAAAATAGCTATTACAGGACTGAAACTCAGAGAACACAAATAGCTATTACATAACACAGCAGTACAAATGACAGCACTGTTATTTCAACTAACTGCAAAATAAATGGAGACCCAACAAGACAGCAGAAATAGAGACGGCATGAGCTAGTGTTCTAATTGCAGTACGGCATCCAACAAGAAAAACTTCATATCACAACTCACCTTTCTTCTCAATATAGTGGTGGTGGTAGTGCCACCAGGTGTTGATTCCATTGCAACTGCAGCAGGCTCGTCGGCTCGTGATGAACTGGGAACAGTAGCAGCAGGAGGAGGAGCCTCAGAGCTGAAGCTAAAAAGAATTCCAGCGCGTTCCCGATGCAGGTGAGGTACAACCGCGGCCTGCAAGAAGAGATGCTCATTAGCATTTTGCAAGAAGAGACGCTCATTAGCATTTTGTATTGTACTGTATGAGGCAATCACCACGGGACAGATTGGTGGTGGCAGGAGCAATTTGTTTTTGGCTAGACATTCTATTCAGTCACTGTATTTTCAGTCTTTTAACTAGGCCACTAAAATAAGTGGATGCTGCTTTTCCAGCAGAAAACAAATCATGGATCAGTGGAAAATATATCTTTTGGTGTTGTTGCTTTCAGTTGCCATATGCTGTTTTCAGCAATAGTGCAACTGATTTGCAGTATCTCATTCCAGCTGATTGTGACTACAGCTTGATCCGATCTGCTTTGCATCTCAGCTTCGTACTACCGATAGCAATTGGTGACGGCCTTGAAAAGACATTGCTCGATAAAAGACACCCGCCCATCTACCCCAAATGAGAAAAACTTTACACGAGCGGACACAGAAAGGAGGGGAGGGAAGGGCTGGGCATACCTGGTGGGTGCTCATCGCCGGCGAAGGGCCCAACGGCGCCGGGGCGTAGGGCGGCAGTGGCGGAGTCGCCCGTGGCGATGGCCGCGGCAGGGGACGAGCCGCCCGTGGAGGTTGCGACGGCGGCGGCTGAGTCGCCTGTTGCGGCGGCGGCGGTGGCGCTCTTGGATACATCGCGGCGGGGCACGAGTCGCCCGTGAGTCCGTGACGGGTTGGAGCGGCGCCGTTGGGCTTCGTGTGTCCGCTCCCCATACCCGCTTCGGATAGATGGGCTGTTGTGCGGGTTGATGCGTGCTCGCGGCGTGGTCTGGCCCAGCGGGCTGACGGCGTGGCCCGCGCCGTTTGCAATCGTACTTGGGCTGCATGTCGAGAGGCGGACGCTGTGTCGGAGCTGCTGCTAGCGTCGTGCAGTGTGTTGTATTTTCGCATGACACCGGCTCTGCACAGATCGCGGTTCGTCGGCTTCTACCCCTCCGCCCGTCTTCTCGGGAAAGGACATCAACATCTTCTTCCTTCTCTGTTTCTCGTCTTCTCGGCTCAGATCATCAGCCATGGCGGCCGGATATTCAAAACCTTCAAGATCGAAGAGCATGGGGCATCCGCAGACCTCGCCATACCGAGCCCTCCGCCCGTGGCCGGAACAAGAATGTTGGCATTACTTTATATATATCTACCAAAGTTTTCGAGTAAAAAAGTCTTTTTTTCCAAACAAAGCATCCACGTTAAATTATCTGATCATCTCATCGTGTTTCTTACAATATAATACAATCATGTATGTAGTAGGTTAATAACGGGAGCAATTCCACAACCTGCATTTACAGCGGGTTCCAAATCTAGTAGCGATAGTCACGGTGGTTCATCGTCGGCGGCTCATCTCTACTATAATAGACCAATCAAAATTACACTAGGTCCAAAAAAAAAAACGACCCCGCTGAGAGTCTATAACTATTGTACACCTACAAAATTACACACAGAAATTCGTCTTCATTAAAATAAAGGGCTAATAAAACACCTAATCCAAATCCGATGGCCACGATTGGATGTGGGATGTCAGGCTTGTCACCCCGCCTTCTCACCCCTGCGCCCTCCTCACCCCGCGCGCTTCCGCCCTCGTAGCATTGCCGGTCAGGTTTCGAATACTTCGATCACCGAATAAAAAAAAAGACCGACACTAGGGAGGACGCGAACAGCTATCCTGCCGCTGGCCGTCTCCTCCGTGGGCTATCGCCTCCTCCACGCCGCCGTCGGCCGTCTCCTCCCGGAACAGGAAGAGAGCGGCGGTCGCCTCCTCCCGACGGCAACGCTCCTCACCACCAACTCCTCCCTTGCCCGCTCTGCCACACTCGATCTACGATAGGAGGGCAACGCTCCACACCGCTTCCGCTAGCGCGAGGCCGCGTGGCCCAGCAAGGCCGCCGCCGGTCGAGGTGCGAAGGAGATTGCGGGCAGCGGGGAGGAGAGCCGGCGCACAGATAGATCCTGCCCCGCCGCTGCCTCAGGTGCCCCTACCCGCCGCAGTTCCCTCGAGATCGGACGCCATGGAGACCGATGACCATGGAGGGCGGAGGCCATCAAGGAAGCCCGCTGCTTCAAGTTCCTTCCGCCTGCACTTTATTTATTGCTTCTCTTCGTTCCTCCGCCGAGTGGGATCCAACGTCAACCACGCCGAGTAGCGCGGATGGGGCTGCGGCAAGAGCTCACTACCTTCGCCACGCCGGCGCCGGACGCTGCCAGCCCTGCAGATATACATAGACCATATGTATCCTAGCTAGCCTGCATTGTCATGTGATTTATTTACGGCTTCATTCTTGGATTTACGTGTGTGTGTGACATGGGACAAAACCATGTAGTACCCCATATCCAAATTTGCTTGACGGCGAACTGGGTCTGCAACAGAGGAACCACCACCATCGGAGGGGAAGGGGACGAAGGAGCCTGATCTGACGAAGAGCAGGGTCGTTTAGGACATGGGCTCGCCAAGAGCTCTGCAATGAAGAGTTTAGCACAAGGAGTTGCAGTGGCAGAGTCCATGCAGCAGGAGCTGCGGTGGCGCCAGGATTCGACACCTCCGGTCCCGAGTCAACCTGGTTGCCTGGTTTCATAGTTTGACACGTGGGTCCCCCTACTACTGCATTTCTATCTAGGTCTTAGGACCAGCTTTCTCACTGGAAAGGATTTTTTTCCTTTTTTCCGAAGCCAAAAGATTTTTATTAACAAGGTGAATACCCTGCGCTTGCTGTGCGATGTCAGAACAATATATTACGTAGCAGTTGGTCACAGTAGCTTCAGCCCTTGGTTCAAGAAAGTAACATGTAAGCAAGAACAAATGGCATGGCTATGAGTAAAGATAAAGATCAAACGAAATATTCTATTTTGAGTTTTTGACATGCCTAAGCCTAGATACTAAGGCAATACTGCAGTGGCGAATCTAGGATTTTAGTTTAGGGTATGCTGCCCAAAAAATTTTATATACAATTCGGTAAATTTATTTTACCAATTCAATAATAATTTAAAAATTAACAACGTAATTTGGTATATATGCACTAAGTAACACAATAAGGTTTAAATTCATGTATTAAGTTGAAACCATCCACTAAATACAATATAAATAGTTCAAAAGCCATATCGATAATTAAAATATAGGCATAATAAGTATTAGAGACTTACAATGCTATTTTTTTAGGGTTTTATTCGAAGCTTTTCGAATGGACATAAATATCTTGATTATATCATCTTCATTAACTTCAAAGAAAATATCCTGCTCAATGAAAGTGACTAGACAATCATCTAAAACGCTATCTTCCATCTTATTTCGTGACTTTGTTTTCACTAAAACCATTGCAGAAAATACCCTTTCAACACTTGTCGTTACCATGACTAGAAGCAATTTCCTCAATTACTCTCTCATGAGTTGTGAGACCCAGCCCATTGGGCCAGTTGGGCCGAACCGAATTCATGACACTGTAGCGATGAGGTGTCGTAGCTTTAGGGGGGTACTGTAGCATCAGCGTAGTATTCCCAGTTTAGTCCCATACCGGAAATGAACCAACGCTAGACCAACTTAAAAGCCTGGACCTGAGAGGCTGTTAACTTCGGATTGATCCTTTTGCGCGAAGCGATGACGAAAGCGCAAGAGAGTTAATTAGCAGGTGTGGTTCATTTAACGTGTAGAGTGGGCCTTACCGTCTTCCCGGGTCGGGGTGTTACATGAGTCTACTCTTCCACCACAAGTTCAACTGGATCAGGGATCTGGGGAACGATTAGATGTAGCAACTGCCGCCACCACCTTCTTCGCTACATGCTTTTGAAAAAGAGATGCAATATCCGTGTGTCTTTTCATAATTGCACAAATATTAAAAAACACGATGCTAAATAATTAAATAATTTATTAATTGTGATGTTAGCAAATAGCACAAGAGATTAAACTAGGGGAACTGGGAAAGTGTGGTGTACTCACCGCGTCTCAGGCGTCAGGCTGTCAGGGTGTCCGGCGGCGTCGTGACCGTCCCCTCGCTCCGGCAGTCCGTCGCCTCCGATCGAGATTAGATTAGGGAAGAGCGGTTTAGGCCCACTCGCCCGTCCGTCTGCTGTGGTCGGTGTGGCTGTGTGGGCTGCGTGTGCCTGTGTTGTGTTTCGTGGCGTGATCCATTCGTGGGTGAACAGCGCCTTCTTTGCTGCGTGGGTCGCCTCAAGTGGGACGTTCGTGGTGGCGTGATCCATTCCAGGTAAGTTTTTTTCCTTTTTTTACAAATACAAATGCTTATACATATATATAATAGTATATTCACCGGTGCCACAGGGTATGCCAGTGCATACCTGGCATACCCTGTGCCTCCACCACTGATACTGCATATAGACTTGTTAGCGCCTGAGACGTCCGATCTAGGGCGCTAACGTCCGGATAGTGCCGCACAGAGAGCGAGCAAGCACAAAGCGGCGGGCCCGCGCTGCCCCGAACGTCGCCCGTGGCACCAGCCGCTTCCCATGCGCATCCCATGTGTAACACCCTATCTACTTTTAAAACATTTAGATGCAATAGTTGCAACATACAAAAGAAGACTGGTGAAACACTTGAAACAAGCATCCGAAACACTTGCGAAAACGCCTGAAAACATTTGAATACCATTGCAAATATATGCAAAATCCAGATGAAACACTTTCAAACATACATATGAAATACCTAAAACACTTGACACATATGCTTGTAACATGCATGTATATGCAACATCCATATCTACTTTTGCAACATCTAGATAAAACACTTGCAACATACGTCTAGAACAGATGAAATATTTGGAACATACGTGTATAGCCATTACAACATGTGCAACATCCCGATCTACTTTTGCAACATGATATACAACACTTGCTACATACCTATAAAACATTTGAAACACTTGAAACATACTCTTGCAACATGTGCTTTCAACGTAACATCTACTTGCTACTTGGATGAATGGAGGCTCGTCAACGCGGAGCTCGATGTTGGCATGGAGCTCGCCGCTCCGGTGGAGAAAGGCAGCGGTGGGTCGCTCTGGTGGAGAAGGCAGACCACGCGGTGGAGAAGGCCGCGAGGCGGAGTGGGGCGCACGCTGGAGAAGGCTGCGGCGGGTCGCTTCGGTGGATGAGGTAGGGCGCGGTAGCGACGATGACGCAGAGGGTGGGTGGGGGTTGGAGCAGGAAGCTTGGATGGGAGGGGATCTATGGCGGCCCGGATTACGATGTGCCAACACAAGCATGAGTGGACGCTGTGACAAGAGGCGGATGGGCGGACGGTGCGGTGATCACAGTGACGGGTGGACTTGGGAAGTTATCGATCACAGAGATGGGGGAGTAGGAGAGCAGAGCGGCTGCCCATTGGGCCCGGTCCACTGTGCAGGCTCAGGAAGACAGCGTTCGGCCGTCCGAACACCCTATGCGAAGCATTTGCGATTCATTAAAGCCACGT